ATGACCATTAAATTCCACTCAGAGCTACCTTTAGCTTCTCTTTACAATTCACGTAGATTTCTCTTTACATTCATCTTGAATTTTGCATCCAAATTCTCCGCTTAATAACCTTGTAGTATTCCTCAGATTATTAGGAATATTATGAATTCAATTCTCTTAAAACAATCCATCTATTCTAATATTTGTTCACCGAATTCCTAAGGAATCGTCCTCAGAGCATCCTTTGAATTCTCTTCATATATAAATGAAAAATTTTATTGTACTGGGATTGAACCCAGGCCTGCTGGGGTGAGAGGTAATCATGTATCAAGACGATATAGTGGAAAATAGCGAAATGAATAAGGTGACACTGAAGAAAAATTGGAGAAGGCGTGAAGACGTAGGAGCGGAAAACAAGGCAATGGAAATAAAAAAGGACGAATAAAGAAGATGATGAAGGAATATAACAAACAACAGAAATATGGAGAGGAGAAAGAAGAAAATCGATCAAAGAGCAAATGTAGAAGAATACCAAGACACAACAAAATATCATAAGAAGTGAAGAAGATATAAGAAGACGAAGACGGTACGCAGATGATTCAGCAAAAAAAAACCCTATGACCAAGGAAGTCAAATGTTCCCAAATGTCCTCGATCGATTGGGAGTCATGGATTCTGAGCTCGATCTGGATGAAATCGTTGGTGTTTTCAACATAGAAATACGTCACGTCATCGAAGCTAACGTGCCCCTTCAACGTCCTCCATTGAAGCCGCCTTGGTCAAACTCCAGCCTTCGCAAATTGAAGCGCCGTAGACGATCTGCGCTTCGGAAGTATAGTCGCAATAGGTCTCAACAGTTGAAGCATCGCTTAGTGCTTGCTAGTAACAACTATGCTCGGTACAATCGTATTCTGTATGCTCGGTACATTGATCGAATGCAAAGGAACTTGCGTGTGCATCCGAAAAATTTCTGGTCGTTTATTCGTACTAAACGTAAGGAAGATGGATTACCTACATCCATGTACTTTGATGAGCCCTCAGTAATACTCCGTCGCACAGTTTTGAACTTGGAATTTTTCAAATCACCGAGGAGCACGTCCAAAGCCTTACGTAAATTAAAAAAAATTCGGTCTGGTCCTTATGGGATTCCTTCAACCGTACTGAAAAAAAATGTTCAAGTTCTCTGCTGAAACCATTAGTAAAATATTCAACCTGTCGTTTCAAATGAAAACATTTCCTGTTGGATGGAAAACTTCATTCCTGTCTCCGATTCACAAAAAGGGGGACAAATCTACCGGGGAATTACTTCGTTGAGTGCCTGCTCTAAACTTTTTGAGATTATCGTTAAATATATTCTCTTTGAGGCTAGCAAGAACTACATATTCTGTTCTCAGCATGGATTCTTCCCGAAACGATCCGTCACTATGCTCGATGGTGGACGCTGGTAAGTAGATGCCGTGTACACAGATTTCAAAGCTGCATTTGACTGTGTGAATCATGATATCCTATTTGGAAAACTTGGACTTTCCTCCGACCTAGTAAACTGGTTTAGATCGTACCTGACTGGAAGGTCTGTGAAAGTAAGGATCGGCTCTTCATATTCAGATGAAGTTTTCATTCCTTCCGGCGTACCGCAAGGAAGTAACCTAGGCCCGCTTCTGTTCTCGTTATTCATAAATGATGTGTCATTTGTTCTGCCACGCGGACAGCGGTAATCACTTGTATTGAAGACTGCTTGGAGCTGCAACGGTTATTGGATTTATTTGAGGAGCAAGCGTAATCATCTTGATTTGTGTATAGCCAAATGCAACACGATCTCATTTAGTAGAAAGCGTAAACCGTTATATTTCAATTACAAACTATCTGGGCAAACTCTCGAACGCATGGATCAGGTGAGGGATCTTGGTGTGATATTGGACCGTGAACTCACTTTCCGACCGCATTGTGAAGATGTGTTAGCAAAACCTAACAAGCAGCTCGGGTTCATCTTTAAGCTTGCTGATGGATTTCTCGATCCTCTCTGCCTGAAGTCCCTCTACTATACCCTAGTACGCTCTATTTTGGAATCTGCCGTAGTAGTATGGTGTCCATACAATAGAAACTGGATCGATCGCTTCGATGCTGAACAGAAAAAGTTTGTGCGCTTAGTCCTCCGACACTTACCCTGGCACGACGAACTGAATCTTCCTCCATATGAACATCGCTGTATGCTGCTGGGAATTGATACCCTGGAACAAAGAAGATCGACTATGCAAGCTGTATTCGTGACTGAGGTGTTGACCAACGATATTGACGCCCCAGATATTCTCGCTGAATTGAATATATATATATGGTCCAGAACGACCTTTGAGACGACGCAATTTCTTGTATTTAGCTAACCCTCACACTCGGTATGGACAACATGATCCAATCAGATTCATGACACTTCGGTTTAACGAAATAGCCAGCAGATTTAACTTCAATAGTTCTGCCACCACTCTGCAACGCCAACTTAATAATAATCAACGATATTGAATCGAACAATAATGCAATTGGTGAGTATCTGTCCAATAATTGACTAGGAAAATGAATGTGCCTCCTGGTGTTTGTTTTTGTTTGTTTCATGATTCGCCATCATCTACACGACATTGATTCCTGCCATCTGACGAGTGACCTGTTTGTAGTTTCCAACTAAAAATTGTTTTATTGATTGATTCACTTTGAGAACAAATTCATGTTTTATTTATAATCTGTATACCATATAATGCCTAGCGAAAACGTTAATGTGTACTGTTTTGAGAAAAGGTATGGGGTTTTACGCCTTTTTGAGTCAAATGTGCTATCTCAAAAAGGCTTTTCCCCATCCCATATTTCATTTAGACTCTAAGTTTGATGGAATTTTCTATATAATTCCATCTGAATTCAAGTCTAAATGAAATATGGGAATAAAATAAATAAATAAATAACAAACAATTATGCAAATCTTCATGCAAATCGAAGAAGGTCGCATCAGATCGATTTGTTATTTGATCTGGAACTGCTATGAATCCTCATTCAATTCGGATGGTCCGTATCATTTGACTAATTCTGGGTAAAGCCCTACAGTAAAGTAACTGTACGGACTGTAAAAGTAACTGTTTGGACTGTCAAAAGTTGTTCCAATTGAACCGTCAAAATCCACCGCTTTGCTCGATTGGAACAGCTTTTTTCAGTTTTGTGGTGACAGTCGTCCATACTTTAACTAGCGGGCTTTTGTTCTGGGACCTCTCCAAATACGCGTCAAAATAGGTCTTACATGAATTCTTATTTTAAAAACTCTGGGACCTCTCTACATACGCACTATCTCACCAATAAAAATAGGTCTTCTTAGCGACTAAAACAAGCGATGTTACTAATATTTAACCATGCAGTAGAACCATAGAGGTAGCTCTAAGACTAGAAGGTCCCGAAGAAATGTGCTCCACTTTTTGACTCAACTCTGGTACTCTCTTCGGTCCCAAGCTAATCGATGCACCCTTCGAAACATAGGAAAATCCACGAACCCCTCATTTTATCTGTCAAACTTTCATAGCGAATCAAAACAAACATAGTGGAATGGGATACGTTAATCGATTTGCTTGGGACCAATAGGCTAGTCAAGTAGTGAGCCAATTTTAAATCGTAAGTTTCCACCAGTTGGTAGAACCCTGTCCCGAACCTTTTTTTGTGTTCAATCATAAAACCGTGGCTCATAACCATCAACAAGAAGAGCTTATGACAAAAGTTCGTGGTGGTAGATCTTAATCCAGTAACGCACCATGAAAAGGATTACTGGTCAAGAAACTTTTTTTCACTAATGTGAAAGGGGATTTTGACTTATTATCGCACAAAATTGGCCGAAGGGTCTCAGAAATATAAGAAAATTTGCAGCGAATGATAAGGATATTTTCTCAGCAATTTAATTAAAAAATGTGAGACCTTTCAGCCCGAATCTTCCAAATAATTTAAAATCTTCCCTGAACCCAAATGTCTATCTCACTTGTAGGGGGATTAATCACAAAAGAGATACTTCCAGCAGAAGGAGTTTGGTTTCCCAAGAAATTGCTTCAATTACACCTAATACATGGAATTAACCTTTCAGGGGTAAAATAATTTCAATCATGGATTCAGGCCATCAGGAAGCACTGTGTGCCTTACGGTATTTCTTTCCGTAAACTTAGATATGGAACATGTTGGGTAATAATTGTGCACAATTATTTTTCCTCTTTCCTCATGCATATTATTTTTTCCCCGAATACGATTGAATTGCGTAGCGGAAAAAAAAGTTCTGTTGTTGTTATTGTTAATGTATACACATAGATGTCAAAAGTTTCCAAATTCTTCCACTAGGATCGCTGCAATAGCCGGAAATGTTCGTTCCATTTCTCACTGCTCCATGCTGTAGTGACAAAAGTCAAAACCGATCAACAAAATCAGACAGCCCTGAACCACCGTAGTCCGGACGTTTTTTAAATTTTCGCATACAATCGGCAGTCAATCTAGATCAACAGACCGAAATGACCGTCAACTTAAATTCCCATGCACACGGCAGACACGCGACCATCCAAACAAGAAATGTTGATCAAAACAAAACAAGAAAACCAATCAAGCTGCACAAACTTCCACAATGTCTTTCGATTTTTTTATTCCACGCCGGCCACCGCAATTCCATCGCTTTTCACAACGAGGGAAAATTCCTTCTGCATAGAGAACGCAACAACCACATCAACACAGGAAATCCATGCGCCAATTAGGTATATCGTTCAGACTTCGGAAATTATCGGAGAAAAACGGTTCATAAGTATTTATAAAATGATGATATTGTGATTTTCCACTCAATCCAGCCGATCGTCAAATCTTCAACCATCAAATCAATGGGTAATTATAGTTGGAAAAATACACACTTATCGTCAAGAGTCATTTCGGTATGAACGATCAATGCTTACATACCGGAAGGTTTGACTGAGGAAGGCTTTCAAAGCTGCTTTTAACTGACTGAGCCGGTTCTCTGAATGATGTACTTACCCTTACCAGCACAATCTGCATAAGCATCTTGATTAAGGTACACCGGGGCTAGCTACTATTAGTTCAGTAGTTTGCACTAGCGCACAATGCCACTCAAAAATAATCTCAGTTAAAATTCACTTCCGCTAAAAGATACACCTTTCGTTTCGCGCTTTTCAACTTACCTCGGCGTACCTTACTTCTTTTTTTTATGAGTTAATTGATTGTATTCTCTGAGATTGCAAACAATGCACTCCAAGAAAATTTGACTTAGATTAAATTGCGAATTGTCTAGGTATTTACTAAAGTGACTTGCAGATTGTGTACATGACCTTCGCCAAACTCAAAATGCTGGAAGTCAATCCGATACCGCTCAAAGTCCGACACTTTCAACCTCCAGCGTGCAAGGTTTCAAGCCGTATAGACCCACTCGTTGACCGAATTGTGTATGCGGCGAAAATCAGCGAATCGACTTTGAACTTGGATGTTTTTGCTACGCCTTCCACCGAGGTATGTACGCTTATAATAGATGCCGGGTCGACGGTGTACATTGCGCTACATACGAGTTCCGAATCTTGTGAACCGATAGAGACGAACCGTTTCATAGATTTCGTTTCTTCCCGGGTTGTTGATTTAATTCAATTACTTCCGCATAGGATATTTCCTAATGCTGTAATTCGATTTGCCTCTTTTTATACCTACCAACGCTTCAACTTGTTGTTCTTGATGAATGAGTCGCTGTGTGTGGTGTGTGCGAGCAAAAAATATATAAACAACAATTATAGAAAAGCAAACTGACCGCTTGCTTGTGTCCTTGCCTGGAGCCAGTCTGTCAATTAGTCATTGTTATGGTTAGGACGCTTCTTCAAGCCCGTTTGTTTTCGTTGGAATGACGGTGTTGCGGAAAACAGAATGCTTCCTAAATGACTAAGCATAACCACCGACAAATCGACATGAAACTTAAACTTAACTCTTGATCGAGAATCCATAACGGCGGATTCAAATGTGCAGCGATCCCATCGGTCAAAACCATAGAAATTTTTTATCTAGATAAACATAATTTGCCCAGAATAGATTAGACACGTGTAACAAGTACCTACGCTTTTCATTTATTTAATTATTTTTTTTGTTAGTTATTTATTTACACAAAATTCATATTTATGCAATTTACTCATTTAATCAAATTGCATGAAGTTACGTTTTTTACAATTCAATCGTAAATGTGTTCCCCAGCGGGAATGTCCTCTCATGTAGAGTTACACTTGTCATACAACAAGCAATGAGTTCCTAATACGTTCAGCCAATTAATTTCATTTGAAGCGAATACGCTACCTGTTCGTTAAAGTTCGGGGTACGAATCTGAACCGTGCTCTCTTATAAAAGAGTAACGAGTAACCGAAAATAGATTTGAGCAAGACAGTATATTGAAATTGCATGATAAGGAAATAGATGTAGCATTGAATGATTTTAAGAGAAAGATGATGAGAATTGTCGTTTGAAAGGTCGTTGAATTACTTCGGTAATTTGTGCAGCTCATACATTTTGTATGCGTGTTCATGGCTAGGATACACATTTTTCGCGAACACGGCGGCAGATGTCATTTTTGTGCTTTGATCAGAAATTTGATAATACTTTGAATGGTCATTCATGTCGGTTTGTCGGTGGCATAACCACACCTGGTTAGCGATGATGGCTGCGCTTTTGATCGACTGTATTTTATCATTTTGTTGCTCTTTATTAGTAGCGAAGGCAGGTTTTGGATTTACCAGACAGACTGACCCTATGTCAGTCTGTCTGGTAAATCCAAAACCTGCCATCGCAACTAATAAACCCAACAAACAATTGAGAGCTCTTATAAAACACCTGAGTTGATCAAACGTTGAATAATAGCTTCCAGAGTTGAACAAGAATGTAGTTGTATTGCCATTTGATTAAAAGTTTTAAAAGCTATTGGAGCACTCCTAAATGATTATTTACGTTCGGTTTAACTATATGCTTTATAAGACCTACGATAACTTTTATAGCACCTTAGTTAAACTGATTCACAAAAGCTATACAGAACGTGGAATAAACGCATCACAACAAACCATTGGGAGCTCTTATACAACACCTGAGTTGATCAAACGTTGAATAATAGCTTCCAGAGTTGTACAAGAATGTAGTTGTATTGCCATTTGGTTAAAAGCTTCAAAAACTGCTTGGAGCACTCTTAAATGATTGTTTACGTTCGGTTAAACTGTTTGACAGGAGCTTCTATAGGATGTGGAATAAACGCATCAAAACAAACCATTGGGAGCTCTTATACAACACCTGAGTTGATCAAACGTTGAATAATAGCTTCCAGAGTTGTACAAGAATGTAGTTGTATTGCCATTTGGTTAAAAGCTTCAAAAACTGCTTGGAGCACTCTTAAATGATTGTTTACGTTCGGTTAAACTGTTTGACAGGAGCAACAAATAGAATGCGGAATGGTCTAATGGATTTTGGTCTAATTTTCGTTCTACTAATGTGTACAAAGAATAAGAGACGTAGTGAGGGGAGGCGAAAATGGTCCCGCCAAGGGCACACGCTGGGGCAGATCAGTAAATTTCTCGGAGAAAAAATATTAACTTTTGACCGAAGCATTCAATCAGATTACTGTCTTGTGTAAAGATGCTTGTATTAGTTAACCGTTTCTTCTGAATAACTTAATTAGTTCGCAACACGGCCATAGAGATGGCGCACGAATTTAACTTTTGAATAAAGCGTCTATGGTGTATGAAACAAAGTTGTTTATCTATTAAAATGAAGCAAAATTGCAGAAGACATGAAACTTTTGTAACCTTTAGTTTCGGAGATACTATTCTTGCAGCCCGAGAAGACCCTTCGGCACGCAAGCTCATCAGAGCTGCAAATGTTAATTCTTGTGATGAGTGAGTGGATCTCAGCTCCTAGGTTTTGAGCGGTTTCGTTCTTACAGAGCATTCCTCGGAACTTTTCACTGGTAAACCGTCAAGTTTTTTAGGAGAAAAGAAAAACCGAAATTGTGAAAATTAATTGAAGCATCAAACCAGTACTGATTAGTTTTAAAAAATTTGTCAATTTCTCGCTTTGAATCCTTCCGCCTTTTCTTGAAATCGGAAGCAAAGAAGCTTAATCTTTTATTGACCCTCACCCCTCTGATCAGTTTTAGCAATTTGTACGGAGTTCAATATATCTGTGAACCCAGAACTAATATTTTTGTCGAAAAGAAATCGGCGACTCAAAAAGTAATCCGCGCATTCTGATCCAAAAAATCATCAATTCATGTTTCCAAAATCCAAATTCAAAAGCAAAACATATTTTTTACTCAAATCCATTAGGATTTAAAGTGTTATTTTGATTTGAAACTCATGATAAAGATTTTTTTTTCAACCATCTGGTTGGAGAAAAATTGGATGTGCTTACCAACTAACAATTTTCGCAATGTAAACGCTTTACTCATTTCATTTATACAGCCTCAAGCTCTATTTAAATGTTATACGATATGTGGAAACCTTTACTCAATCTCTATTCAAGCAAATCTGGCGAACTTAGCTGTTGTGACGGTTGGGACAAGCTCTTATTGCATATTTATTTACGCTTCTATACAGCTGTTATCCTGCAGTTTAGTTGTGTGTGAACTTGAAAGGCGCTTACTCAACCTTTTCCTGGTTATCCAATAATCACTACACAGCTTTCTCTTGAAGCCGGGTTGAATATTATTTACGCTTTTTTTCTTGGAGGAATTAATTGACTTTATTTTGTTGTGAGAATCAATCAAATTATTCGAAATTAGTTATAAGCACACCATCAAAATTATTTACCCTGCACCAGAAACCTGGAATCGAACTCGAGACGACCGCATTGGCAAACCTTGACACTACCAACTTAGCTACGCCAACACTTTGAACTGATGTAAACAAATCTACATGCCCTTCTACAACAAGATCGCTGAGTAGAGGCTGTTTAATAGTGCACATAAATCACTTTTCTCGACCAGTTACTTCAGCTTTGTAAAGGAGCAGAATTAAAGCTGTAGAACTGCACACGTCTAAAAATAAACCTAGTTGACTGTAAAAATGCTTCCAAAGCATCACTAACACAGGTAATTAGCTGAGTACAGGTTGTTTAGTTGTTGAAAAAGCACTTTTGATGTTTATGTTATTCAGCAAGAGTGGTTGGTTGTGTAGAAGCCATCAAATGAGTAATATATTCATTGTGTTGGCTGTGTGTGTATAGAAGTGACATTAGCGTATATTGGCTGATGTTATTCAGTGCGACTGACAAATTAAATAATGGTTGTGAGAAAGTTGAGAAAACGCTCTCCAAAACTATTTTGCTAGCTTCTGCTTGTAGCTGTATCTGCAGCTTTGTTTCAGCTACTTTACAGCACAACGCTGGAAAAGTTAGCTTATAGAGCTAAAAATGTTAGTTGGGTTGTGTGATTTCATTCGCATTATTATCTTCACTAAAATTAATTTTGAGACATCAGTAAACGAAATGCATGTTCAGCATATGGTATAGAATAAATAACTGTTGGAAATTTACATTTATATTTACTTCAAGGTGAATCCTTCATAGCAACTTGGTAAATAATTGCGCAACACCGGAAATTTATCACTGAACTAAGACGAGAAAAAAATTCACGCTTACTGATACCAACTACTGAGAAATTGACGCACATGAATACACGTTGTCACGGCAGCACATAGCATGTACGATGATGTCACACACACAACTTTACCTGGGCAATGCAGCTGATTGAGCTGGTTTCCTTATGTTATGTTTGCTGAAGTGCAATTTCGAACCCCTTTGGATACTGCCTCTACCTCACTTTCGGAGAAGTTTTAGAATCGAGAAAGAAAACATGCACATTTAGTTTTTTTTTTTCTACCGAGCTCGGCTGTGCAAATCTTGGCCGAAAAAGTTTCACTGAAAACTCAGCAAAAGAGGCATTTGATTGCTGAGTCTCGGATAATGCTAAGCTGAATCTCAGCAAACAAATGAAATCTTTGCTGGGATCTCAGTAAAACTTTTTTTGCCGAGAT